GGCGGGGCCGCTGGCCCCTCAGCTGTTTCCCCGAAAGGGGGACGAAGGGGTTTCCAAAGCACATCCAGTCTTGGAGCGGCATTGATCTGCCAATGCTTTCCCCTCTTTACAGCGAGACAGAGGGAGGAGCTGGGCGGCTGCCTGGCGGCTCACTGGAGGTTAGGGTAACAGAGGAGTGGCTAAGGGCGCACTGCCATTGCAAAGTGCCCTGGTTACGATTTAAAGAGCACCCTCCTCTGTGCCGCGTCCCTTGGATGGCGGCCCCAACTGCAAGCTGCAACGGCTGTGATACCTTATGGGTAAGGGGCTCAAACATCATTGCACATTCTAATCATGTCATTAAGGTCTTTATTTTTGAGTTTGCCTCTAAGAATGGCCCTACAGGTGCTGTTGGCATTTTATAAGCTAATTGTTTAATAAGCCGTATTATCTTCCATTTTCGTGTCCGAGGGTCCGTTCAAGCAGACTCTAAAAGCTGCCCACAAATTCACTAAAACCCTCTTGAGCTCCTGGGTGATTTTGTCAGGGGAGTAAGAACAGATCCCTTAGAGGGAAGTGTACGCCAAGCGCGAAGGCGGCTGCGGCGGTCTGAGACAAGAGTCCGATTGGGAGTCTCCTTTGGCGCTGTTCAGTGGCAAATTTCCCTTGTCCGCTAAGCTTTTCAAGGGTCCAAGATGCAGAATGGGGTTTTTAAATTATTAGCAGCTGGTGGTCTGACAGCGGTTGAGAAAGTCGGCCTTCCAAAGAGAGGAACTTCCCGAGAAAGGACCGCTGTACTAGTTTTATCCATTCTCTGGGGAGCAGGTAGCCCCCCGAGGCTGCCTCCAGGAGGGAATAGGTATAGGGTGCATTGGGCTCATAAGGCCCTAACAGCAGAATTCAGTTCTTTTAAGGTTTTAACTTTAGTCTGCGAATTCAGTGGGCTCTGAGTCTGTCTCTTTCTGGGAGGTCATCACTTTCGCTTTCTCTTTCCTCCCTTCCGTATCCTCATTATCTGAATCTTGGGGCGGGGACTGGCTCGAAGAAGGGGCGGCAAGGTCTTCTCGCCTATTAGACCTGGGTAACTACCGGGAATGCTAGGGCTTTATGGAGGACTTTAAGGATTTCTTATTTAAGGTGGCATATGATTGGGCAGTCTCATGACCGTGGGTGGGCTAATGAAAACCGAATCTTTAAGCGTATCTTGGAGGGAGGACAAGTCTTTGGAAAGCTGGGCAATTCTTTTTGAAGTTGTAAGACATCCTTTAATTCGTGACCTCTTTGACTTAAGTCTTTTTTGGCACACAAAAGCAAGGGCATTGTAAGGGGAGGCATTAACGAAGTGTGCAATCTGGGGCTCGATAAGGAGGAGGTCTATGGGGGCCGAGGTAGGAGGCGCCATTCGGGATCGTGATATTGGCGCCGTTCCTCTTCGAGGGTTGCCTCTTCTGCGAGTCGAGGACTCTCGGAGGGTTGTTTTTGAATACCGGGTAATTGAATGCATGAGGGGCTGTTACTCCTCGGTAAGGGAGGGTAGAGGGTCTTGGTGTCTGGCCTACTAATCGGGGCTCGCCCTAGATGTCTGGAGCTCAGCGGAGGGTCCTGAGGGGCATATTAATACAAACAGGGCAAGGGAAGGGCATGTTGGTCCTCAGGATTATTAGGGGAAGCTGGCCCGTTGCCGCCTCTAAAGATGTTTTGAAGCGGACGCGACACGGTCGGAGGCAGAATTCTGCTACTGAGAGCAGCTGCTTTTTATTGGGTCTGAATCTGCTCCCTCAACAATATCTCTGATTAGTCCCCAGTACGAGAAAACGGATACAGGGACGCATCTGGGCCTGATTCAGAAGTAAATTGTTTAAATCTCTGCTACCTTTTGTCACTTGCGTGGGTGAATCTCAGGTCCCAACAATGAACCAGGGACAAGCACGGTCAATGAAACAAAAACTTTACTAGGTCCTTTTTCTTAACTCTAATTCTCTTCTCTCTGAGTGAGGCTTGAGATCCTTAATGAAAACGGCCTCTTTAGACAAAGAATGGCCCATCTCGATGGAGTGACAATGTAAAAAATTTACTCACCAGACCGTCGATTCTGTGAGCGGCAGACGAGGGTCTCGTTAGGTTTTCTTCGGCCGAAGAGCGCACCGCGGCGTCACTCGACAAAGGTCTGTACCTTGAGCCCCATGTTGGGCGCCACTTGTCCCGGCCCGAGGGACTTTTGTTACTCGTCGGCTGATAAACTAATTCAGTTCCTCTATCAGACACCTGTAATATTTCCCAAAAAAACAAGAGTCTCCCCCATTCCAGGAGCCGTCTTAGTCTTTACCAACGGATCCTCCTCAGGCACCACAGCCTATAGCATTAATGGCCAGGTCCGCAGTTTTCCCACCGGATTCTCCTCTGCTCAACTTGTTGAGTTAGCGGCCTTAGTCGCAGTCTTCAAACACATAGATCAGTCACCATTTAACTTGTATACCGATAGTTCTTATGTTGCTCATGCTGTC